TGAATATTCATGAAATTAAACAAAATGATATGCATTAATGAATATTCATTATTGTTATTCAGACCTTGGCTTCATTTTGGTAAACATTAAGTCTGTGACCTAGTTATGAACCCTTTTAAGGTATATGACCTTTGTTTACGACCTTGACCTTACCCAGACATATCACTGTGCCTGTGACCTTGGCCTGGAACTGTGAGAAAGTGACGTCCATAACTGGTTTGTCCGTAACAGTGACCGTCTTTTCACTCGGGACAATGGACAGACCTGCTGCCTTTTCTTCTTCAGTCATGTGGACCTACAACACAGATAAAATATCAAATCAATTTTTTTTTATTACGAAAAGTGATTCATTCAGCAATATCAGGATGCACATTTTACCTACAGGATATTGAAATTGAACAAACAAGAGGCCAAAGGGGTTTAACTGTCACCTCATTTGTAATACAATAATGTTATTTGTTGTTGTAAAATGACAAAAAAATATGGCTTTTTAAAAGCCGATTAACCTATAAAATGATAGTTGCGAGTGGCTTTGTGACTTTAAGACTTCTCAGGTGATCAAAAACTGTTGTCTATTCCCCCAATGCTAGAATTTTTCAGTTCTTTTTATTACCTAAAAAAACCCCAGACAACACAAAAAATGACGACGTCATATAATGCAATGTTTGGCTATATAGTTTGGACTGTAGGATTATTTTTTGGGTTATAAGATACATACCGAAAAAACTATGTGCACCTCAGTTTATACAGTATAACCCCCAAAATAATCCTAGTCATTTCATAAATAACACAAAATCTCTGTGTGTACCTGTACAACATGGATGCCAGGTTTGACCTTGGCACAGAAGTTCCCGTCAGCATCGGCCTTGGCAGAGGAAGCGTCCATGTTTTTGCTCTGCGGGATGATGATGATTCGTCTCTGACTGGTGACCTGCCTCAGAGTTTCCGGGAGCTGGCTTATCACGATCTTACCGCACATCTTAAAGCTGTAGCAAGGAATCACAAGTGATACAAAGTTTCATGAAATTCTGTTGAGGAATGAAGTCGCAAGAGCGCTGACAAAGTTTTTTTCTAAAAATAATAATAGTGACCTTGACCTTCAACGTAGAAATCTGAAATGTGAACTTGTTCAAGGCATTGCCATACTAAACACTTGTATGAAGTTT